TGTGCTCTGCTGACAACTTAAAAAGCTCTACCTTTACTGCTCCCATTTCAATTTCTTTGTAAAAGAATAACTTTAAAACAGCCCAACTGCCTGCAAGCATAGCAGATGGGTACCGGAAGTGGGTAATGCTACTGCAAGATTTGGCGTGTATGTGCAACTAAAGATTATTTATGCACAAGAACTGAAATAAATAAAATCATGAACTGGTGGAAGATGGGAGATTTCAAAGCTGGACATGATAGTTTTACCTTTATTGCAGCAGAGATTTGGTGCATGTGTGTACCCAAGCATGTGTATACGTGTATATACATGTGCGCCTGTACATAAGAGAGTGTATGCATTGTGAGAGTGTGGGTATAGTGCACGAAGGGGCCATGATGCAAGCTTCTAGCTGCTACCATAACACAAAGAAATTTAGAACTAATGCAATCTTTTTTTTCTCTGATGTTGGCCCTATGGAACAGAGTTTTTCTTTTTTCCCCCTGCAGTGAAGTAGAATCATAGAATATTATAGAATATCAAGGTTGGAAGGGACCTCAGAAGGTCATCTAGTCTAACCCCCTGCTCAAAGCAGGACCAATCCCCAACTAAATCATCCCAGCCAGGGCTTTGTCAAGCCTGACCTTAAAAACCTCTAAGGAAGGAGATTCCACCACCTCCCGAGGTAACACATTCCAGTAATGTTATATAAAACTCTTCCTAAAAAAATGTTTTCATTTTTGTAATGATCTATACAGAATGAAAGACTAAAATTACATTAGCAAAAATTAACATCAGAGTGTACATCTCTGTACTAGCGGGGCACATCAGGCAGCAGACTTTCCTGTATCTGTCATCCAACGGCACCCAATAGCTGAGAAATATACTAAATTGGTGGAGAGAGTTAGCAGGGAATAAAAAGGAGAACCAGCAAGGTATTTGCCCTCAAAGGTTAAACCTATCTTTGTGAGCTATGGTGGGGATTGACTTTCCCAAATGTATTCCTTCCCCCTTTCTCTTGAGCAACTACTCTTATAGCCCCTCTCCTAGGGGAGATAATTAGCACTCAAGTTAACCTTTTGATCACCAAGGACCAAATAGTGTCCCTTGCATCTTGTGACACACCCTATTGCACTCTCTCATAAGTTCTCATAAGCTAAACATTAAGCATGGGCAGTACTTAGGTGACACAGGAAGTCATGCTAATGAGTCAGCAGATGGAACTCCAATCCACGTTAGCACTACCTCCATCATGTTCTTAGGAGACACAGCTAAAGGCTCATCTCACATGAGACATAAGAACAAGCCCTTTAACAATTAGGATCATTAAATATCTCATTTAATTTTTCACATGAGTAAAGCTGGCTAGCTCTAGGTTCTATAGTTTACATTGTATAAGCCTTTATTCCTTATCCTGAAGTAATCGATTACTTCTGGCTTTAGCAGACTGTATCACAGCACACCATCATGTAGTCTGCATATGCCATATTTTAACAGAATAAAAATTTAAAGCTCAGTTTAAAGCTTAGGTTGTTTTGGATTTTAAACTGGTCACTGGTTCAGGATTGTATACTGCACATCTCAGGCCTTGGGCCCAATGTATTTTTCTTCGTTTAATTGGGTTTTTTTGGTAGGGATTCACATTTAGGAGCAAGAAGGAAACATTTCTCTGACAGGTCATTTTTTGGGGGGATGTGGGGGGGGGGAATGGGTAGCTATCAAAAGCCACATAAAAGATTGGAAAATTCAGAAGAGAGAGGGTGGAGATAAATATGTGACCAAAGGCACGTGATAAATTTATTTTATCACATGACATCACCACCACATGGCATGTATATTCACACACATGTGCTCTATACAAGCTTACTTTTGAGAGTAAGAACTCACACAGATGTCAAGAAGCCATTATATTTATGCAAGTACATCATAATAATTGTTAAATATAATGTCAAAATAGCTAAGGTTGAGACAATCTCTACAGCAGCACGATAATTGGAGTAGGGTTGCCACACACCTCCCTTTTAATATTAGATCAGACATTATCTTCTGTCATATTGTATAAGTATTATTTTTCCCATTTTATAGATGGAGAAGCTCAGACACGGAATATGAATGGTGAAGATGGAGAGCTCTCCTGTTGTCAAGTATAATTCACAGTGGCAGAATTTGTACCTGGATTCCAGACATTTTCTTGTCAAACCACTTGATTACAGGCATAAATCAGATAGCTCAAGTATTCTGATCTTTGCCCTCAGTTTGAGAGTGAAGACTGTGTCCACAAAAGGGAGACTGAGCTCCAGCCCTTTTAAAAATTAGCCCTTGAGGGTTCCTGAGGAATTAATGTATTAGATCTTCTACTGGCTTGTTAACAGAATCCAGGAATCATGGCTCACATTCAAACAGGTTTAGCCTAGTAAGTGCTTATAAAGATGAAGTTTTAAAATGTAATCCATTTTAACAGAGTTTAAATTTCCTTTACCAAAACATTAACAGTAGCATTCTATTTTAATTGTTTTCAAATAGCTTTTCTACAACAAACATGAGTATTTTGACAATTTGAACAGAAAGTACTAACCCAATGTGGTTTAAGATATTAAATTCCAAAATAAAGGTTCAGAACAGCTCTCCCTTAACGTGTCCAGAACTGTTTTTTCCAGTGGCTTTATCATGAACAATGTGCAAAGCCAATAGATTCCTGAGATTTGTGTCCTGATGTGCAGAGATGAGGATAGAAACTGTTATTTAAGAGCAGGATGTACAATAAAATGATCTCACTTCAACCTTCCTGATGTTTGAAATGTGCTCAGGATGTGGGTGAATAAAGAGTGTGTACAGTATGCATGTACACATGCTGCCAAGGTGAAGTATGATGTTCTTGACATGAACCTGGTATATATCAACATACAATTTCAGCCCTGGCAGCTTGAGTGAAAGCAAATTTTAAAACTATCACTGGTCTAGAACTGACAAAAGCCAAGCCTGGCCTTCAGTTTTGTAAAGTTCATTACTTGTTTCATCTGACTCTGAATACTGTTGGGGAAAGAAAAGGAAAATGTTATTTTTATGATAAATTATTGTCACAACTAATATAGTGGCTGTAGTAAATTTTCTGCCAAGCTTGGAATGTTGTGAATTCCAGGCAGATACCATAGCCCAGTGGTGAAAGTGTAGCTGAGAAAGGTTTAATAGTGTGAAGTAAACATTTTTGATAATAGCTGGCAATTTATTTCATGGCTGCAGAAAAAGGATTTTTCCCAAGGTTATAACTCTTCTGTGCATAGTAAACTGATATCTCTATTTATAACAGATACATTGTTTTCTGCTTATGATTGCACTATTGTCTTAACAATTTTTCAGCAAGGTAAGGCTTACTGTATAACCAAAATGTTTATAGATATTTTATGAGACTGGAAAGAAAAGTGATAAAATGTAGCTTAATAGAACAGACAGATGTAGGCACATTTCTTGGAAGAGAGACTTATGTGTATATGAGGCATACTTTATTTATAAATACAAATCATTTTATACTTCACAGGAGAGAAATTTCACAAGCCTACAAAAGGCTCCACTTGCAACATTTAAGTTGATCCACCATCACCCTCTCTGGTGGATCCCAGGCTATATACATATGCACACAACTATATTTTAGAATGCACCTGAGTTGCAAAATAGAGTTCCAGAATTAGATTTGAACCCTAACTTGCTCTAAGTTGAAGAGCTCTCGTGTGCATTTTCCAGCTTCTGGCCATTGCAAACATAATGAGCTCAAGCAGTCAATTTCAGATCTGGAACTGGATTTCACCTGCAATTTCAGGTTCAGATCCATACCTAGCATAAATGTGCAATCCTGAGCACACCGCCAAAGGAAATAAAACTGTTTTATTGAATAAATATTCTGAAAATACATTTGGTTGTGTTCAGATATTTCACAGTAGATAAATATCTATGTGCTTCACAAAGTTGAAATATCATCTTTCAGTTTCCCATTTAAGACATCCCACTAAAATGTTCACATGAGTACTGCAGATGAAAAAATATTTATAGACAGCAGGAAGAAATAATAGTATTCAACAGACTTTTCAATGGTATTCAACAGTGTTCAATTGCAACTGTTGTCTTTTTATTTTCAGAAAACACGTGTCTGCTATTCTGCAAATGCTGACTATCTGGTCTGGACCACTCTCCTGGGGCCAAAGTGTTTACAGATCTCATCTGAATGATACAGTCCTTCAGACATGCTCAGTCTTGTACTTGCATGAATTAGAGCAAGGACCATACATCAATCATTGAATCCTGTTTGATGCTATACATTTGCTTGGTCACAAGCCACTGGCTTTGTTTGGCTATTTGAGGAGATTAGTTTCAGCTGCTAAAGTAGAAAGATGGGACAAGAAGAAAAAACACCACCACTGCAGGAAGAATTTCTGTTTGATATTAATGGGTATATTCCTACAGCAAAGATATGCATCAAGAAAGCAATTGCCCAAGACAGTTATTATGCATGTTATTTACATTCTATGCAAATAAGAAATATTTAAGTGGTCCACAGTTCAAAACTTGCAGAGGGTTAACTGTTACCTAAGTAGGCATTAGAAAAAGTGGTTGACTAATTTATCTTTGCAATAGTTAACAGTTAACATACCTTGACTACTGTAATTTATATTTTTGTTGTAAGAGAAATCAAGATTAGTTTCAAAATGTAAATGTTAAGAATTCCAAATTCTCTGTCCATTAATGCTCTCCTTTGATTGGATATTTAAATTATTTAGTTTATCTTGGTGATTGGTCTAATTAGTAATTTTCTCTGTAACAAAATAATATTGGTAAATGTGAGGAAAAATTGAAAGACTATCTCAAACAGAATAGATTACCTAGAAATATAAATAAAAACCAACAGAATGAAAATAATTAGTTTCCTAATCAATAGTTAAAGTCTTCATTTGCATCTGGGGCATAACCACCAGATGCTGTTAGAATGGCCTAATGAAATGGGTCGCAGAGAAACTTATTACTTGCAGGCCTCAAACTGCGATTCAATGGCCCAGCAAAACAAGAAAATGCGCCCTGTATTACTCAAACGGAATAGCCTGGATTCAGTTGATTTTATGAGGCAGCCACACCACCGCAGGAGCAAATCTCAGCAAGTCCGATTCAAAGATGATGGTACAAACAAGAAGCCGATTGGTGTCACTGAAATGGACACTAAACCTGCCAAAGACACAACGCTCATGATTGGAAAGGCACAAATATCTAGGCACCATAACCTGCCAAACTATTCTCTCTCTTTCCCAAGGGCTCAGAAGGGGCATCGGAATATTGCTATTCAAACTTCTCCGAGCCTTAGGAAGCACTTTCCAGTTTTTAAAAAGAAAAAACTGACAACAAGTAAGTCTTTAATGGAAATGCCAACCAAGCCTGAATGCTCTGTCCAAGTCAACGGCAATCTTTCTGAACAAGACATGTCTTTGGACCTCTCTTATTTAAGAATAACTAAACATTTGGAAGATGGATCTAGAAGAGCCAAGACATCCAATCCGTTATTTCAAAGAGAGTGTAAAGCACAAAGCAATGGGCCTATCCACTCAGACTCAGATACTTCCGCAATACTGGAAAAGGCAACTGTTTATACACAGGTGCCTGAATACATACATCTGACTTCTCCACAGGACAACAGTGCTTCCGTTTATGCTTCAGACATGGCCATGGATTTAAATGATTCAGTACGTTCTCCTACTACTATGAGGCAATCCAATGAAAACTATACACTGCCATCCAAATCAGGAAAATCTCCCTCCTGCTTAAACAATACCAGGAACTGCAATGAAATTAATCGACATTATGACTCTTGTGAAGCAAAAAGTGTTTTGGAGTCACCTGTATCCACTAAAGACACTAGCACTAATGAAAACACTCCACTATCACCTCTGTCGAATCAGAGTTCATCACACTGCTTTCTTAGAGATCATCAACAGCTAACAGAGCTTGAAACAGATTCTGACTGTATGGTGCTGACTAATGATAATCATGGAATAACGTCATTGACCAGCAGTAATGAGTCAAAATCTATTCCCTCGTGTCACACTGAAATGGATAAAACTTCTACACGGTCATATGTTCCAGAGTATAGCAATTATTTAGAAGACTTTCACATAAAGTCCCATCTTCCAGGGAATGAAATTAAACCAGAAACCAACAAAGAGATTAGAGACATTAATCAAATTCACTTGGCTCATGGCGAACTATGTGCCCTACAAGGCAGGCTCCAGTCCATAGAGGAATCTTTGCACTCAAACCAGGAGAAGATTAAAGTCCTTTTGAATGTAATTCAAGACCTGGAAAAAGCCAGAGCCCTCAGTGAAGGGTATGGTGTACTTTAATATTAAAAAAACTATTTTGTTAAGTAATTTATCAAAAAGACAGACATGGCTGTTTACTTTCTTTTAATCTTTGTTACTGAAAATCTTCCTTTGAAATATTTAAAAAAATGTTTGCAAAATCATATTCTCTCTACTGTTTTATAGACTTGAGCCACTAAAGAGCAAGCAAATGTCTTTACATTTTGGCATTAATTAGCACTGAGCTTACAAAGCATCGGCTCAGTTAGGGCTTATCTATGTTGTCCACCCATCTGAACCATAATTTTGGTTCAGATCCAAGGTGTCAGAAAGTAGACATCACATGGCCTATGAGTTGGTGGTTTCAATCCAGTTAAAAGGGGGCAAGCTGCTATGTGACAAAAAACAAAAACAAAAACAAAATAAAGAAAAGAGCATGGTTACAGACGGCACTAATTGACAGGACATATGAAAAAACATGGAAACTGAGCGCCCCTCTCACTTCTTAGGGTGGTGTCTTAAGAACAGAAATAAGGCACATTGTCAAGGCAGTGTGAAGAAGTTTGCACTTCCACCACCTGTGCTGTAAACATTCTGCAGGTTAGCTGGGACCTTCATTCTCTCTGGCTGCAAATTCGGACCCATGTACGTACTATATACACACCATATTAAAATCATTAACTAGAACATGTTTGAAGAAATGGCAGAAGAAGTTTTAGAATTATTGCTTTCCCTTCTGTTATTACCAATACAGAAAGTAAAAGTCCATGATCCACATTAATGCTTTATATGTTATCAGTCCAATCACCGGCTCTGTCTTGCAACCATTACTCATGTGATTTAGGAATGCAAATTGTGCATTAGATTTCAGACTTCAATGGGACAAGTCTGCAACTGCAACACATGAGTAACAGTGGCAGGATCAGGCACCTTACTATTAAAAATGTCAAACTAACATGTGCAAAACATTTATATACCATTTTACAGGGTTCAGAATGTCACCAAGTTTAAACCGCTGGCTCAGACTTGGAGCATATTTGCTGAGAATACATTTCAGAACTCTTTTTGAAACTAACACAATAGTTAGAGACGGTTTCTAGCTTTTAAGAATATGTTGCATATAATTAGTCAATCCTTTGTGCATTTAAAATAAGATTAAAAACAGCTACATGCAATAGCACTTGCAAAACTTTTTTAACTGCACACATAATTTGCTTTCATAATTACCAATAACAAAATGCAAATAAGATAATTGCACATTTTTAAACTCAGGCCATATACATTAGCAGTTTTTAATCCTTATCACTGGCACTTCCTTTCACATTTGCAGAAGGTCCCCAGGCAGCAGGAACAGCATAGCTCTAGTGCAAAAGATGATGGGCAGGGCCTGGGCTCATGATTTGGGGCCTGAGTCTTTACAGAAAGATGCAGGGAGTGAACAAGAGAGGTGCACGTTGTAGCTGGATGCCCTACTGCCAAAGAGAACCTTCTAGGGCCATGGAGATAGCTCAGGGTATGTAGTGGTGAAATCTTCATGGAGTAGTTCTGCTAATTTTCTGGAACCTCTAAGGAGGAAGATATCTTCCTCAACAGACACAACAAAAATAGAGTCTGCCCTCATTTGACAAAAGCCTTGTTGAAGATTATGTATCTGAGTATTCCAGAAGGGTGCAGCATTGTAAAGTGAAATGCAGACCATTCTGCAACATTTGTTCTTCATTTTTATTGTTACCACATTGTTGGAAACTGAATTACTGCAAAGCTCCTCAGCTGGCTCTGTTTCAGCCTCAGTGACAGGCTTCAATCTATCTTTCTAGAATCATTGGGTGACTGTGTTGACTATAGTAGTAAAACTGTGTAATAATTATCCCCATTGCTTTTGTGAGTAGAACCACTACCGCTATTGAAAAGAACAGACTGAGATTAGTTCTCAGAAAAGCAATCAGAGAATCATTTGGGCATAATCATACACTTTTTATGCAGATAAAGCTGCCATTGACTTCAATGGATTGGACACCTGGGATGGAAGGAACCACCCAGTACGTACCTCTACAGCATGACTAAATTACTGCAGTTGTCCCCAACTCATTCTTGACAGATGACTGTCAAGCCTAGCCTTGAATATCTCCAGTGACAGCAATTCTGCAACCTGCCTGGTCAGCTTGTTCGTTTTGTCAACTTTCATAGTAGCTACAAAGAGAAGTGTTTGTTTTCTTAAATTAATTTTCAAATACACAAAGAATTGTCTAGCAGGTACAGGCTGAAATAGGATAAACCACAAAATAACTTGTTTTTTGACACAGCCATTTATGTCAGTCTGCCTTTGTGGCACTATTCAATGAGAATGTTTAGCTGCCTTGCTTTTCTGTTTAAAGAAAGGGACAAAAGAAAAGAATGGAAAAGTAGAAAGCAAAGAAAAAAAGGATTATATTTTGATGTACAAAAAGCACGGCAAATGGTTCAAATGTGTTCCAATCAAAAAGTGTTCTTATAATTTAAGTGTTCTTGTAAAGATATTCTTATAAGAGATAGCTGTACAAAATCACCTGCTTTCCAGAGAATCCCCTGAACACAATATTGGCACCACAGTTTAAATGAGCTTAAGGGCAGAGGTTCAGGATGATAAATTTCTGTGCTTTGGTTGGTTTTAAACCAGATTCTTAGCAACAAATTTCAGTGTTAAATTTGTGATTAGGATACTTAAAATGCCTGGAAAGAGGAGTTAGGTTTATTATAAGCGTTCTAACTTTTCAGTTCACAACTTTTTTATATAAATTACAGCAGCTATTGTCTATTTCAGGCGCAACTTCTATCGCACTGGCCAAGACCTCAACAACTGCAGCACTTGCCAGAACACTGCATGTATCATTTACAGGTACCACCTGCTACTTGGTATAGTATGCATAGATCTCATCAGGGTACAATACAATATTTCCCTTGCACCTATAGTTCTACTATTGTAAATCATTAATAAAAGAGTGGAAAGTTATTTTGTGTTCTTTTAAGGCATAGAAAGAAAGTTCTCAAGACTGGCATTATTTCGAAAGGTTTGGTACTTTTAAGAAAATTAAACTAGAAACGTCCATTGATGTGATATTGCCATGTTTTCACTAGTATGCTTTGAAATTATTTGAAGCAGTCTCTGCTGATTGGTATTTCCTTTGGGTATTTCTGTAATGAAGTTAGATCTCAGAAAAGGTGAAGAATCAATCCTCCTCCAGACTCAAGTTAGTTATAGCTGCAATTCACGTAAAAAGTAGACAAGCACAGAACACAAGTGAACTCACATTTCAATTCAAGGAACAGTTTTCTTAGTGAGATTGCCATTTCATTTAGCTAAAATTGCTATAGCCAAGTAACTTTGCAGTGTGTTCTGGAAGCTATACATGTGCATGAATAAAACACGCAGGGTCATAAAAGGTATCCCACCAACAGAGTGGGAACCTATCTCTTGGTGCCTGGGAACTGAAGACACATTATTTATTTATGTGTATTACCATAGCACTTAGGAGTCATAGTCATGGGCCAGGACCCCATTGTGTTAGGTATTGTATGAACACAGAACAAAAAATATACCTCCTGACCCAAAGAGCTTGTAATCTAAGTCTAAGAAAAGAGAGAACAGATGACTACAGACAGATATGTGGCGGAGTACAGAGAAACAATGAGACAATATTGGTCATCACGATAGACAGTGCAATCAGCACAGCAGCTGCCTAACCATTGTCAAGTTGTTTTTGTAGGCATCACAGCAAAGAAGAGTTTTAAGAAGGAATCCGAAGGAAAATAACTAGGTGCTTTTACCGATGTTTATGAGGAGCTACTCCCAAGCATCAGGTGCAGCTTGGGAGAAATCAAAAAGGCGCTTGTTTGAAAAATTAACAAGTGGACTATGGAGGCTGCCATCATTGGCTGATCAAGGATGGGAGTAGTCATCTCAATAGTGGATGAGAGAAGACAGGTCATGAAGTCCCTTGAAAGAGAAGGCAAGCAGCTTACGTTTGATGCAATAGAGAAGGGGAAACCAGCAAAGGGATTCAAAGAAAGGGGGGACATGGTCAAAATGACAGTCTAAGAGAATTATCTTTTCAGCACTATCCTTAGTGGATATGACTGAGGGAAGATTGCATTTGTCTAGGCCAGACAAAAAGATATTGCAATAATAGAGATGAGAGCCTGCATGACAGTTTTAGCTGTGTGGATGGATAGGAAAGGCATTGTCTTAGAGACGTTATGCAGAAAGAGTTGGCAAGACTTAGACATAGCTTGGATGTGAGGACCTACAGAGAGGTCCAAATCAAAGATGACACCCAGATTATGGGCCTGAGTGACAGGCAGGATGATGGTGTTGTCTACGGTGACTGAGAAAGGAGGTGGAGGGAGGTGGGGCGGGGGCGGGGGCGGGAGAGCTCTGTTTTAGCTCTGTTAAGCTTGAGCTGATGGCTAGAAATCCATGAGGAGATGGCAAGGAGGCAGACCAAGTTTTTAGTTCGATCAGAAAGACAGGTCTGGAACAAAGTAGATCTGTCAGTCCTCAGCACAGAGATGGTAGTTGAATTTGCTGAAGGAGCAATTAGAGAGATAAGAGGTGAACCAGGAGAGGTCAGTCACAGAAGCAAAGGGAAAACAAGATTTCAAGCAAGGGAACAATCTATGGTGTTGAATGCAGCTGACAGGTCAAGGAAGATGAGGATATAGTATTGGATCTGACCTTTGGCTAGGAAGTGGGGGGAAGGTCACGTTGTGTTTTGTCAATTTTCTCTTGGAAGAAATTGGTGAGATTCTATGCAGAGAGAGGAGTGGAGCCAGGAGGAGGGGAGGATTGGAGGAGCAAGTCAATGATTGCAAAAAGGCAGCTAGAACTGCCAGGGTGGAATGCAAAATTAACTCCCTTAGTGTAGCAAGATTAGCATTAAACATGCCTATCTTAAACTCGGACAGTGTTACTACAATATATATCCAATAACTAGGCTCCTAATTCTAAAGTGATAGGTGGAATTTAAATAATGCACCAAATATTGTGATTTCTGTGGTATATCTGTATAGAATTTGACAAGGGGTTGCAGTTTTTGTGTGAAATTGCTGGGGGGGGGGGGGGGGGGGGAATTGGAGAGAGCATGTGTGTTCAAAACCAGAGATTTGGGATGTGTGGGGAGGGTGTTCTTTGGTTATTTTTTTTTTTTAAACTTCAATAGGAATTGAAATGAAAGGCAGTCTGGTATAGTTTGTGTTACTATTTATATATTTAATTGAATAAAATTCTGGTTTTGTTTGTCTTTCCAGTTATTTTCTACTGTTTCAGAAATGTCATGCTGCAAGATTTAGTCCTGGAATTATTTGGCAGTTTTAAAGATATAGGCTTTTGTCACTGACAAGGGTAGGTTGCTCCTGGGGTGTGGGTTTTGTTGTGAAGTGCAAGTTTGGCAATGGGTTTCAGCAGCTAAGATGACAGAAAAAGGTTTCATCAACTGAGGACTGGGTGTTGGAAGTTGTAAGGAAAGATTCAAATAATTTGTCAATATGGGATGATATTTTTCCTTTCTCCCCAAAATTTTGGGATGTTTTTCTTATCTCCATTTCTTTACAGACCATAGTGGCCTTACTCGAAGCTTCACACACATATCTAACACACCCATCATAGAGCAATGGGCCCAAAGCACACTCTCCCATTTGCTAAGTCACAAAAAATACTTGTCATGTCCACTCAATGAGCAGCCCACCAATGAGCTTCAATCATGTTTTCCTAGACAGATCTCTCATCTTGTATAAAGCCCAAGTAGATCCCCAAAACAGTAAAATGTCAACAAATCAGCCAAACACTGCAAAAGAAAGCAAACTAAGATTTGTGTCTATACTGTCTTTAACTATTGAAAGCTACTTTTGAGCTATTCATAACTCTTCATGTAAAAGTAACTTATTGGAGAAAAAGGCAGGTTGGGCCCATAACCACTCGGACAGAAAGAAACTGAGGGAACAAGGTATTTATACCTCAATTGTATGGAATGTAGAGTTCAAGGGACTTGTTCACATACCTTACCTCCCAACTCAAAAAGGTTCTCTGGCTGCCTGGTTAGTCATGTGGGTCATACAATTCTGACCTCTGAGGTGGTAACTCTAAGGCATGGAGTAAGTTCTCTCACGGGCATGCACGTGGAGCAACATATGTGATCCCTCTGTGCACCAAGAGGCAACAATAGGCATAAGAATTATTAGTCACATGGTACACAGTATACAACCTAAATTATCTAAAGGTCTCTAGGGAAACAAAACTTTGGGAAGATGATACTTTGTAAAGTCAGTGACCCAGATTACCAACTCAGTTATAAGCATGTCAGCTCCTTATTTCAATTTATCCTGGTTTCTGTTTGTCTACACTTAAGTCATGTCGACATAGCTGTATCAGGGGTGTGAAAAAAACAGCCAGCCAGTGTAGATGCAGCTATGTTGACTGAAGTAGGCTTCTGTCGATGTAGCTCATGTTGTTTGGAGAGGTCGTGTTCTTACACTGACCGAAAAACTTCTTCTGTCATGCTAGGCTGCGTATAAATTAGGAGGTCTATGCCAACATAGCTATGCCAGCATAGGCTCCACAGCGTAGACAAAACCTATGTTACAGTTACATGTGGGATGAGTTTGCCACATTACCTACAATATACCTGTAAAAAAAGAAAGCTGACACATACATTTCCCACCGAACTCCATGCTTTCTGGTTCTAAACAAGAAAACTTATTCATCTTGTTCATTTTTTAGTCTTTCTTCAGCATAAAATACAATGCCACTATACAAATTTCTTCTCATATTTTGAGTATAATTAACAAAACTTTCAGCAATCTATAACCTTAATGTGCTGATTATTTATTAACATTTGTCTTTGAAATCCTCCATATGAAACTGAGGTTTTATTCATATTTTTCCTCATTGTTATTCAAAACTACACTACTGCCTGCTACCTACATTCCAATGTTCAAATAATTAGGAGAGGAAGGCAATTATTTTGATGAAAGAGAAGAAAGATTAAAACAACATTACATAACAGCAATGGTACTGATGAGAACTGTCATTTTACATTTCAAATTATAGTAAGGCTTATATGATATACTTGTAAGCAGGTCTAATAAGCTAATGAAGAAGGGATAAGAGACTTCCTTGTGCTTAGTTAAGCAATCAGCTGCATTGTGATAAATTGCTATGGTGAATTTCACACTGAACATAGTGTGCAGAAATGTGACTGATTATATGTCTCTGTATTCATGTGTTGCAATCACTAAACCAGTATTACAAGCTTATTACTCAATTGTTCTTAGGAGGCTATACAAGGTAAGGTAAACATAATATTTTAGTAAGAATTGCATGTCCTAGAGTGTATCAAAAATATATTTAAGATATACTGTGTGTATTACACACACACAGGCTAGGCTATAGGTAAGGACCCACTTCCATTAAGACCCTCAGCTCAGTTCCTCCCAAGTGTAGATCTTCTATTGGCCTCTCAATGTTTCCGGTAAATGTCCTTTATTCTTGTCTGAGTATAATCTTGATACCACAGACCACACCTTGCCTGCACATCCTGCCTGGGGTAAGCTGCCTGAGTGGCTTTGTTCTTCCCTTTCTGAGAGATGTCCGTGGATGATGTTGAGCTCTTGGCTCCTTTTCCCTAGGGCTCTCTGATGAGTGGTACCTTGGGAGGGGGGTTCTATTCGGTCACTTTTGCTTAAAAAGGATGTAAAGTCACTGGGGGATAAAGTTAAAATCACAATATGCAGGTAACTATCACATCTCTGACTTTGGCTGGACCCAATGGTGCAGACTCTTTGCTTTCCCAGGTCCTGGTCAAGATACTGGAAAAGTCTGGGGTAGCTATAGCTCATATCAGG